CAACAATAGCCAATCAGTGAACAGCACGTTCTGATTGTCTTCATTTTACCACACCCGATTTTTGAATATTACAGGCCAAGGCAAAAGTTCTTGCCCACACACTGGAGTGGTCAAGCGGTTGCATCTGGCGTTGAAAATTTTGAGGGGATGCTTGAATACATAGGCCTACAGTAATTTTAATACAGGGGTGTTTAATTTGCTCAGACACCTGAGCGCGAGTCTTTATTAATTTCACTGTCTCGCTCAACTGAAGGGTCGGCTGTGTGTCTACTCCTGAGATCTGGGAAACGCTTTTCCAACTCTGTAGTAGAGCATAGTCAACCGCGAAGCAGCGAGGGACCGCAATATGATTTTTTAATAAAATGATCTGAAAAAAAAAACCGCGATAGAGTGAAGCCGTGAAAGTCGGAGAACGAGGGACGACTGTATATTGAAAAAAAATAAAACGTCTGCTTAAACCAATTAACGCGTGTTATCTGTTTGACCTGAAGCCTATGTTTTCCATACATTGTGAACATGTACATTAAATATCATATTTTCTTGATTTCATATAAAAACGTCCAATATATTTCAGTGAAACTTTCAAGTTCTTCTTCTTCAATGTGACGTGTGCCTTCAAAATATGCACGATAATTGTTTCTATCTCTTGTAGCTATTAGCGATCTTTGCCTTTTTAATATACCCACCCTTCCCTGTTCTGCCAACCATTTGCATAAGCTTTTTAATATCTACAGAAGAAATGATTATTTTATGTGAGGAAGGCCTATCTATTTAGAAAGTCTGTTTAAAAAAATGTCTTTAGAAAATCTGGCCTTTAATTGTGTTCGATCACCGACATGATTTGCTAAATACTTTAATATATTACTCAATAAAATACCTTTTTCAAGATTTTATCTTGTTATCGTTAAGATAACATTTTTTGCTGATGTCTGCCAATAAATCAAAAAACCGCTTTTCGGTAAAATAAAATAGCTTAGAGAGAAACTCGAACCTCTTTCTTGCATTACGTTTTCATGTAGTTAGGATTACCGTTACATGCGATACAAGGATATCAACAGAGCCATACAGAAGACCTGAGGTATTTTTCCTCGCCAAATAGAAATATTTGCGTGAGGTACCACCCAGAAGTACTTGCAAAACGTAAAGACGTTATGATCCAAGGCTTGTGATTGAAATTGAGAAGAAAGAAAGCTATTTTTGAAGGAAAGCCATAAGAAGTTTAACTTTTTTTGTCACAAAATTAAACGTTTTATGACTGAACAGTAATATATTATTATATTAATGTTTAAAAATAATATTATTATTTATTATTAATATGTTAAATCAATTTATATAATACATTATAATCTTTACATAATTTTTCATTACATATATAATCCTTCTCTAATATATCCTTTTATTTCAAATTATACAATCAAAACATCTGGTAGAGTAAAAGAAACGCTAATTTGTATTGCTTGACCTCGTTTTATGCTAATATTACAGTTGTCTTTCCAATTTTTTGTTTTTATTATGGTGTAGGTTACTGTAGACATTCCAATTCTCAGTTGTAACAACGGTTCCGAAGTGAAATTGCCCTATGAAACACTAAAATACTACCGTGGACCCTTAATTTGCTATTTTTTGGTGTAATCGACAGTAGACCCCTAGAGTCCATATGAACCCACCTCAGAACCACTGTTCTAGATGTACAAAACTGGTAGCGATATACACCGAAATACTTGCAGCTGTAAATGTTTGCTTCTGCAAAGTACTGACTCGGGGTTAGGGTGTGAATACTTATGCTTCGAAGAGATGACTGCTCTGTTGTTCTACTTATATTTTGCGTCACAAAAATGCAGTTTGTCCCTTCAACGCACTGGGCATTTTGTGCTGATCAAATGGTAACAAAACCATTTAAGATAATTAGAATTCCAGTTGGTAAAATCTGGAAAAGTTCACGGGGGGTGTAATTATGTAAAACACTGTACAACACACACACACACACACACACACATATATATATTTAGAGAGAGAGACAGACAGACAGACAGACAGAGAGATAGATAGATAGACAGGGAGAGAGAGAGAGAGAGAGAGAGAGAGAGAAAGAAAGAAAGATAATAAATACAAGAAAAAGTTTTGTCACTTAGCTGATTGATGTTACCTCCAGCATCCGGGCTCGAGGGATTCGTAAGCGGACCCTCCGGGAATCACTCCGTCAACTCATCAGGGGTAATCACCAATAGATTATTTTTATATATATATATATATATATATATATATATATATATATATATATATATATATATATATATATAAAGATTACTTCACTTTTAATCAATTTTTATCCCGACTTTGAAGTTTCTTGGTAAAATATCCGGTCAACGATGCAGAATTATCTTGGAGAAATTTATAATTTAGCTGAGTGGTGTTGGTTCAGTCATGCCAACTACGTAGTTTCGTGAGCACATCAGAATAACATGTTCAATCTTCAGAATAGTTGTCTTTTCCGTCGCTATTTTTCCCCTTCGCTCTCTGTCTGTCTGTCTGTCTGTCTCTCTCTCTCTGTATATATATATATCTATATATATATATATATATAATCAATGCCATCTGGCAGAAAGTGTATAAAATTGGCCGAATGTTCTGCATGCCCCAGCGCTTTATATATGTTGGGGTGTACCATCTTTAAGTATCCAAATGTCCGAGCTAGCTAGTCACTAAATGGATGTTTTCAGCGAAAGATAAGTAGGCCCTTCATTTCCTAGTCGAGTAATTCCGGTAAATATCTGGAATATTCAACCAATCAGGTGAAACATGGGAAGGACATCCGTATTCCCTGGAATTACAAGTTAGTATTTCACATATTTCGTTCAGCGTAAAAGAATGGGAGATGATAGGTTTGAGATTGAATTAAAGAGTTATGTTCTCAAAATTTAATTTGCTAAGGCGGAATTATATGCCTATAAAGAGAAAACAAGTTTTTCTTTAAATAGTAACCGTAAACGTGGGAGAAGTTTCGGGATGATTGTTGGTTGGTTCATTTTGCTTAACGATATATCAATATGCGTTATTTAATGCCGAAATCTAAATATTTTGTACGCAATTTTATGCTTTCTTCTACATCTATTTCGTATATAATTTTATACTTTTAGAGTAAAGGTGTGTTGTTTTTTTTTTCAGATATATATTTTCTAGATCATAAAATGTATTGTTAGCAATTTTACTATAAAAATAACTCACTTCAACTTCTTGGGCTAATGTTCCTTGACATGAAGTAGAAAGACTATAATGAATTAATTGCTAGTTAAGCTGCTAAGAAAGTTATATCACTGTGTCCTGCTAGATGCTTTTTCTCTCTTGAATCTATCTTACATATCTCTAAATCTACCATTCACGCATGCTTTGAATAAACTGCCACATATGGTCCGCTGCTCCTGCTATTTCTCTAGAGCTCCTTGATAAAATCCAAAGAATAATCAGCAATATAATTGGCCTCCTCGATCTGGCGCCTCGGCTTCAGTCACTTTCCAACCGCCGTAAAATTGCCTCTCTTTGCCTTTTCTAGAAATACGTTTCATGGTAATTATTCACACGAGATCTTCGCTGTGGTACTTAGACTCTATGAATTTAAGCGCAGCACTAGACTAGTTACGAGGTCTCATTAATTTATAGTTGGGCTGGCTAGGTGTTGTGGACTTGTTAGTACCAGAAATAAAAAAAAATTAGAAGGGAGGAATTGAGTTTATTATATATTAACCGAAAGAGTAATACAAACCTATACAAACGAAAGGGTTACAGCAACAATGTTCGGTCCGACTGTCAGAGCTGACTGCTGGAGACTTCCCTCTCCAAAAGGCAGTACCTGCTCCTGTTTATAGCTGGGAGAGGCCATACTTGAGTGGGTAAAATTTTCATAAATATATTAACAGATTAATTAATACAAACATATAAAACAAGAGTGTTACAGCAAGAGTGTTCAGTCTGACTGTCAGAGCTGACTATTTATTTGTATAATGATACAAAATTTGGCACAAAGCCAAAATGGGAGATGGAACCTGAAGAAGGCCGGAGCGTACAACGACTGAAACGTTGTGATAAATATGGCGACAAATATGAGGACAATAGTCCGAATAATGTAAATAAAATACATTTTTTATATATAAAAAAAATACTAACGATGCATATTTATAGTAAAATTACTAAGAATAGATTTTAAAAGCAGAATTACAAACATTACATTTTGTCTGTGGGTGAAGCCATAATGGTGTGTTGAAAATATTCAGATTCCGGTATTAAATAACCCATATAGTTGTTGATATACCGCTGAACAAAATTAATGAACCAACGGAAGACGAAAGGTTTGACACCGAAACACGAAGACGCATGGAGATAGCGAAAGACTCCTTCTAAAACCTAACCAAATATTAAGAAACAGGAAAATGTCGTTAGAAAAGAAATAAGCACTAAACTCTTACGAAATATCAATCTTCCTGTATGGCAATGAATGCTGGACAATCTCTGCACAGATGAAAAAGGAAGCTGAAAATTCCTTCGACTGAATGTGAGCAACGAAGAAGTTTTAGAGAAAATGGAAGCAAAAAGGGCACTTATACTTAACATCAGAAAGAGACAGTTAAAATTTCTTGTGCACTTAATGAGGAAAAAACGTTTGCAAAATTTGACACACAGAAGACATCTTGAAAGCAAGAGGGACAGAGTACTTAGCAGAACAGGGTTTAGAAAAAATAAAAATAAGACAAAATTTACTAATAGTATCAACCCTTTGCAGGTTATTTAAAGCCAGAAAATATTTTTAGATCTTAAGAATCTTTTAGATAATAATGATTTAGTCTTACTAATTAACATATAGCTGGGGGGGGGGAAGAGGCGGATTTACACCTTCCAATGGTATTTGCGTGTAAGTAAATATATAACGGATCCAATTGTAATTTGAACTCGGTTCTCCAGTTAATAATTCCGAACTGTTGTCCCTTACACCACCCGCACACCCAACCTTACAGCACTTAGTATTCCCAAGCGGTCACCCATTTAGCTACTGACCAGGGTCGACGTTACTTAACTTCGGTGATTACGGGAACAGGTGTTTCAACGTGATATTGATTTTCTAAGCGAGGCTTAAATGTGGCACATGGCCGAAAGTATGGGGCACCCAGTGAGGACCGTACTCACTATTCAGTTGTAACAGTTTTAGCAAAACCAGCTTGCTAACCATTACACCACACCGAGGAGCCCTCTACGTGATATAACCGTAAGCTCGGCAGAAAATTGATCATTAACGAGATAGTATATAGAAGAAGAATGATACAGGTTGCTTTCCCGATAACTACAATTTTAACCTATTCAAACCTAGGGCCGACCGTTATCTATTCTACATATCCTCATAGTCTGCACTTACTTCTTCCTCTTAAGCCCATACAAAAATTTCATTCGGTAACCCTTTACCTTGAGTGGCTTTGTATTGGCTGAACAATAGTATATAAAAAAAAGTACATCTTATTGTTACCGAAGGGATAAAACAAAGTAAGAATCCAAACTTACCGACGCTTGATTTGCCGTCGTTGTGACGTCTATCTTAGGATGTGCATTCATAGTTATTTTTTCTTGTATGTCTTTTTCTTTCTGTTGCCCATACACTGCGAAGGCGGGCGTTGCTTTGTGAAAGCACAGTCAGAGAAGGCGGTTTCGTGTCACGTCTGTACAGTCAGCGCCATTCACAAAATGTCTCCAGCCAACACGGTTGCAGCCCAAATACTTCCACACCGCGTATCTGTCGCTACCCACCTTTATAATTCTACATAATAACACTTTGATTCCTTGACCTGTTCCCCTTGTTAGAATTGTCTTAATAATAGACAAGAAAATAAAAAAAAAGAAGACAAAAAAAAAAAAAAAAAAAAAAAAACGATTCAGTCATGTTGTTTTATTTTTTTTTATTTTGGATTTGTTTTCTCTTTTCTAATTGATACGGGTTTGTTGCACTTTTTTTTTTTGATTCACAGGTTTTTAGTTACAACATCAGATAGCAAACAAGTTCTCTTTTTTTTTTGTTTTCATTCTGTTAAGCACTTCTAAGGGACAGAGGAAATTTTCTTTAATCTTTCTTTTCTTTTCATTCTCAATCATGGAATGAAACGCCAGATATTCTACCAAAATACATATTCATTTGAAAAAAAAAAAAAAGAAAAGTAAACCAATCCACATAGAATCCGACGTTCGGATAGCAATATTCATTTATAAGTTCAACTGAAATATAGGATAACTTACCTTTGCAAATCGTTTTGTTCCTTCAGAAACTTCATCAAATCTCTCTCTCTCTATCTATCTATCTATCTATCTATATATATATATATATATATATATATATAAACAATAACATCCTGCATTTAAAAGCAGAGAAAAATAACGTTGATAAAATAAAGTAACGTAATACAATTTAAAGATGACCACATTTTTACATGCTATATATCAGCCTGTTGGGGCACCTCGTTAGCAATCTTGTCTCGCTAGAACGATTGCGACTGAGTCGTGAGTTCGATCCTTACTAAGTGCCCCATACATTCGGCCTTGTGCCACATCTAAGCTACGCTTAGAAAATCGCTATATATCAGCCAGTACAATATACAAAAGTCACTCAGGTTGATGGTTACTAAAAAATATTGTTTTAAATTTAGGGGGAAATAGGTTAAAATGAGGAGACTATATAGAGGATAGAACGGTTGATTCTCAAGCAGGTATGATATCATTATACAAATCACATAAACCCCAATTTGAATTTGAATTTGCTGTGAACAATTTCTGTCACAATTTAAACAATTAAGACATCAAAACGAAGCTTCTGTTAAATTTTTAGATAGTTTCAACAAGTTTTTTTGCTTTATTATAAAATCTACAGTTTGAAGTTATTATGCAAAACGAGAAAATCACTTTTCGCTTCAATAACAAGGTGAGAAAATCAACAACTACTCAACATCTATAATATATATATATATATATATATATATATATATATATATATATATATATATTGGCCACTCGTATTCAAGGATACCCGTCTAATAGGGCGGCTAGCCAATCCGTATTTCAGACGCTGGCTCAGGCGCAGTTTTGCCAATTCAACACCTACAGAGCCCACCTGTGGTTTATACTGCAACTATGCTGAGCAGTTTCTGGGAGAGAGCGTATTATTTAGCGTGAACAAGGCCAATTTGAATAAGGCCAGCACACTCAAGCCCTCGGTCACGATGACTTGTAACTTTGTGCTCGCACAGCTATCGATGGCCCCCAATAGTACCGTCTCCCCAATTACACTCACAAGGCTTCAAACCGTAGTATGGTTTTCAGGCACTTTCAGTCCGATAACATCAGGAAGTCTCCTTCATGACAAATGGTGAGATTCGAACCCGGTTCTCGTGGTCAGAATGCGAACCACACGGCCACGTTCCCTCACCTATAATATAACAAACAGAAAATTTGAAGTTTATGTGATTTGCTTAATAAATTCAGACAGGCTGTAGACTGTGTTTATGTAAAACTCTGACTTTTCGGCTCCAATTGTGTATCGATTACTAGGAGTGCACTTGGAACATTACATGCAAAACATCTTGATGTGGATCCTAAATAATATTTCCCCCCAATTTTTTTATACTATTTTACACCTAATACCTGACCCGAGAGCAACTTAAGTTAGAGTGTTACTGAATGATCTTACCGTAAGAGCGTAAAGAGAGGGAAAAAGAAGTTAATATTATGGCGATATGTAGGATAGAGAATTGCTCATCATAGATTGCAGAAGTTAAAATTGATGTATTTTGAGATTCATGATTTCGTGAATCAGTTCCACAAAGTGATAGTTCTAGGAAAGAAGGTGTCCCAGTAAAACTTTCTGCTTACCAAAGAAATGCGAGGAAATGATGACAACTTGAAGCCGTTTAATTGGCATGATGCATCCAAGCTGTGAACGTCTGAACTGGTGAAAACACTCTGTACATTTCTCATAGAAAAAGCAATAAAGAATAAACGTTTTCCTTCCTGGGAAAGATCTTTTTTTTTAAGGTGGAAGGTATTTCATAACACTTAAGGTCGTGTAATTAGTTTCGAACTTTGCCGAATTCTAAAATATTCGAAGGCCTTTTAACGTTATGGAAAGCTCAGGACATTATGGAGGGAGTTCAGTCATGTAATTGTCGTCATGTTGATAACAGAAAATGAAATTATTATTATTATTGATTTGAGATCCTCCCCTACTTTAAGATGTTTCGTGGGGTGGGTAATGATAGTCGCATCTCAGCTCTCACCCACAGACTAGTTTGAGCTCATAAGCTGTTCAACACGGCGCTGCCACTTCTGCTTACCTATTGATGTCAAATATTACCAGGGCGTCTTGTATTCTTCTTTCCATAATTGTTGTATGCTTGTAAAAGAATCAATGAATTTGTCTCCCTGATGTTTTTGTTCACAAAATTGTTCACAATATTCAGTAATTCCTTCATGGTTTCCATTACTTTCGCAACCTTTTTTTTTAGTCCAATAATGAGACAGAAGAGACAACTGAAAATTTAGTAAAAATAATGAAAAAAGAAGGCTTAGAGAATTTAACACCCACAGGGCGTATTGAAGAAAAGCGAATCAAGAGAGAAACAACGCGTAACCTAGTTGAAGGCTTTTACTAAACGGATCCCTCCCCACACAAAAAAAAACATCATAAAGGCAAAGATAGATGGTAAAGAGATAGAGCAACAAATGACAGAATATTATGGAGACACATCATCGCATATTTCCTGAAAGAGGCGAGCATATAAAATAATTATCAGAAATCTTGACAAAAATGAAAGGTATGATATACAGTGTACGAATAAAAGGTAGCGGATGCCAGTTATGTAAACCGGCCGTGAACAGAAAAGTTTACCCTCATTTAAACATGGCATCGGGCGAATTTTGTCGGTACAGGTTTTCTATAAATATTTTGTTTTAATTATCAAATGGAGATAGAAGTTGGGCAGAGGCTAATCGTATGTGCCATTTTAAACAGGACCATTTACAACATGAAATGCTGTTATTTATAAATAAATAGCGGTGTAAAACTCTTTTATAAAACAAATGAAAGCTATAAATGAATTTTAAGTGCAGAATTTTAGATCGGGAAAAACCCGAGCAGGCACAAAAACAAAAAACAATAATGAGGGTTGAAAATTTATATCCATCCTTCTGACACTTATGCATCCTTCTCGCCACCTCTCACGCTTTTACTCTCATTTTCCTCTCTTTCTTTCTTTCTTTCTTTCTTTCTTTCTTTCTTTCTTTCTCTGCCTCTCTGTCTCTGTCTCTCTTTTCCTCTCTCTCTGTCTCTCTCTCTCTCTTTCTCTACACACACACACACACACACACACACACACACACACACACACACACACACATATATATATATATATATATATATATATATATATATATATATATATATATTTCCTTGAATACGACAGACAAGGGTGGGTTTAGGCTTTGACTTAGTTTTTCATGCAATTTCTCATGTGATCTAATATTTTTTTTCTTTTCGGATGATAAATCATATAAAAACTGTCCGAATGTTCTTTTTATCCAAGCGCTTTCGGCTATACATTTAGCCATTTTTAGGGTTGAAATATATTAAATGTTAGCAAGAAATATTTGTCCTATTTAATTTTGTTCTAAGTGGGGGGGGGGGGTTATTATTTTTAACTCTAGGTTAGAGGTTTTAAATGTTTTGTAACAAACAATTGGTCTAACTTTTTTTTATATAATATGCTTAATTCTTAATATTTTCACACACACACACACACACACACACACATATATATATATATATATATATAGGAAAAAGGTATTTACTAATCTAAGGTTAAAGGAACCAAGGATAGGGCGCCAATCGAGGACCAAATTGCTGCTAATTTCAAATGGTTTGCGACCATACACACAAGATTATTCCTTACACACACACACGCACACCACTAATGTACATATGTCTATGTACACATGCTTTTCTGTGCGTAGATGTATCTATATATTTGTATGCATATTTATACATTCATCTATGTCTTAGTAGGTACCTTCACGTAT